TGGGGAAGAGCTGGGCCCAGCCTTGTGGCCATGGAGGCCTGGGGAGGTAGACAGGAGTATGCTAAGGAATGACCATGTCCAAATTAGGCTAATTTTGCTACTTTGAAGTGTTGGTGGTCTGGGAAAAAGTACAGTTGGAGAGAAATGACTGTGTGGCCAGGCAATGCCGCAGCCACTGCCCCAGAGCTGTTCTTCCCCGTAATTGGCCTGTACACTCCAGTATCTGGGAAAAGCCATTTCTGATTCTGTCACTCTCTCGCTTTGAAAACCTTTGGGACTCGCCCAAACCCTAACCCTATCCTGCCCCTCAGGGTCTCACTTGATCTGGCCCCAGACCATCCCAGGGCCACTCCTGGTGGGATTTCTTGTCCCCCAGGCACAGCCTGGACCTCGAGAGGCAGCACAGTGCCCACCTCAGAGCTGATGGCGGGTCTGAGTCCTTGTGCTGCCTAAGGCCAGTCATGTCACTTATGCCCACAAAGTGGCGACCAGGACTTTCAGTTTCATTCCTCCACCCTCGGGCTTTTACACGTGCTGTTCTTGTTGTCTACCTGCCACCCCCCCCCCCACCCCACCAGTTTATTGAATTCAGGGACACAAACTCAGGTGCCCAGAGCAAGCAGGTGCATCATGCAAATACACAGAGTGGACTAAGGGAGGTGACAGAGCAGGGGGCCCGTGGCGGCCTGATGTCACACCATCTGGAGTGCTGGCCACGACTCCCTGCAGCTCACTGCACAGCTGCACAGCTTTTGCATTTTAAAGAAAAGAAAAAATCAAAATTATATGCGACATATCTCAATTTTTAAGTGTTGAAAAGGAATTAAAGTTTAAAAAAAAAAAAACACCCACACCAAAATGATTCCCATTTTTCCTTCACTTCTCAGCCTCCTTGAGAAAGCCTTCTTGACCCCTGCAGGCTGCCCCCGGTCAGCTCTGGGCACCCTCTGCTTACCAGCATCTCACACAGCGATTGCCTTCAGGTGGGAAATTACGTATGGACTGCTCACATGGCGCTCTGCTTCTGGAGTGGCCATTCAGCAGAGTAGTGCTTGTGTTTTCCTGGCTGTTGCCCCCTTCCCAGGGCAATCCCCACACATAGTAACTGCTAACTAAATATTTGCTGAATTGGTAAAGGAACAGCCTCAAACTATTTTGATTCCCTAAGAACTTGGCTGGGTTTTTGTCTGGCTAATGCAAAGTCTAGAGTCACCTCGTCATTTGACATCATTCTGTGTTCACAGAAAGATGACTCTTGTGATTCTTTTTTTCTGACAGAGTAGAAAACTGGCAAAATGGAACATTAAGTCTTGGGACTTCCATTCACCTCGAGTTGCAGGGGCTCAATTTCCCCTCATGTGAAACAGCCAAGTGTGAATAGATGAACTCTAACAGCTCCACAGAGATGGGAATACACTGGTGCTGTGGGAGGGCTCACGGTGGCAGGGCTACTGACCAGGGCCCGAGCACCACCATCACGGGGCCGCCTCCAGCTTCCTCCCTGCCCTGGATGGTGGGCAGTGGGACAACTAGGGCTGCAGCAGCAGCAACAACAGCAGCAAGACAATACCACCAACAACAGAAATGGTGCCTGAGAGGGAAGCAGGTGCACGTGGGGGCTGCCTGCAGCATGGCCCAGGAGTGTGGGAGCCCACACAATGTCATGCAGTGGACACTCCCTTCAGACCAACACATACAATCCCAGCAGAAGATACTCAGACTGAGCAGTGCCCTTCCCTGCTGTCTCCACAGCGTGAATGTTTCAGGGCAGTTTTCCACTTTAGGTGGTGTTGGGCCTGCTTGGAGCTGCCCCAGCTTGCACCTCGGAGGTGGACTGGGTCTGCTTTTTTTTTGTTGTCCTCAGTAGAGAGCTGTGATGTCACAGCTCACAGCAACCTCCAACTCTTGCGCTTAAGTGATTCTCTTGCCTCGGCCTCCTGAGTAGCTGGGACTACTGCCCATCACAATGCCTGGCTATTTTTTGTTGCAATTCTCATTGCTGTTTTAGCTGGTCAGGGCCAGGTTCGAACCCCCCACCCTCGGTATATTGGGCCGATGCCTTACTGGAGTGGGTCTGCTCTTTACCCTTTCCGGGGATAGGTGGGGTTGAACACATCCCAGGGGAGAGCGTGTCCCTGGATGGAGCATTCACATCCTGGAAGGTTCATGCAGACAGGATTTAAATGTCAGCAAAGGACAGAGGGGAGCAGAACCCGGGAGGGAACACTAGGTGACCTGGACGTGTGACCATGCCAGCTGCTGGTTTCAGAAGGAACAATGAGTAAGTTTAGTTCTCCCTCCATATCCTTGGAAAAACGGCTTATTTCCTGTTCTTTGAACAAGTTACTCATAATCCTGTTTAAATGTTATAGACTGGCTGGGCGCCTATAGCTCAATCGGCTAAGGCGCCAGCCACGTGCACCTAAGGTGGCGGGTTCGAATCCCCAGCCCGGGCCCGCCAAACAACAATGATGGCTGCAACCAAAAAATGGCCAGGCGTTGTGGCGGGCGCCTGTGGTCCCAGCTACTTGGGAGGCGGAGGCAGGAGACTCGCTTGAGCCCAGGAGTTGGAGGTTGCTGTGAGCTGTAATGCCATGGCACTCTACCCAGGGGGACAGCTTGAGGCTCTGTCTCAAAAAAAAAAAAAAAATGTTATAGAGTGAAAATAAAAACTTTTTATGTTAGCAATGTGGCTTTCAAACTCTTTTGAGTTTGCCTCAAACGGACATAACAAAGAAATACCTTGTTGCTCAGTAAGAACAAGTGCACACACCCCGAAGTGAAGTATTGGTGTAGAAACACAGCCTGCGCCTTCACTATGTGGCATGCGCTGGCATTTTCTAGTCTTTAAGAGCATGCCTGCAACTCTGAATTGACTTCACTACCTGCCTAATGGGTCTCAACTGGTAACATAAAACCACTCTGCTTTTAGAATGCTTTTGTATCCAGTTTTCAGATAGGAAAACTGAGACATAACTGGAGTAAACTAGGCCTATTTATCTGTAGGATGAAACCCCCAGGATTGCGCAGAGGGTTCCAGAGCTGAAGTGCTTTTGGAGTCATCTGCCCCAGTCCCTCATCTTGCAGACAAGGAAACTGAGGCTCAGGTGCATGTGACTTGCTCAAGGTCACTCTGTGTAAGAACAGGGCTGGGATGAATGCATTCCCAGTTCCTCCTACAGGGTCCCAGCACCACACCAGGGACTTGGCTGCTTTGGCCTAGAGAAGCTGGCATCCTGTTGCCTGGGGAAAGCCCTATCCTGGAGGGAAGGCAGGAGACGCCTGTGCACCTGGCCTGCTGCACGCAGGGTGAGTCCCGCATGGCTGAGCTGGCCTGCTGGGAGGGGCAGCACCTGCCTGTAGCAGGGAGCCTGGGAGGCTGCACCCAGTGAACTGGAGAGGGCAGGGTGGCACCTCTCTCTGGGTAGGAAGCTGGCCTCCCAGCTTTAGGAGCTCTCTACGTAAGATGTGTTCTAGATGTCCAAGATGAACACAGGGGCTGGAGATGCAGGGAGCTGCCCAAGACTGGCACATTCCTGCCAGGCTCATTCCCATGCTGTGCAAGGCAACAGCTCACAGACCCCTAGGGCTGGCCTGCCACTCAACCCAGGATATTCTCCAGCAGCTGTTCTCAGCTCCCATCAGCTCCAGCCCTGGGAAGAGCTCTCTGGCAGGTTGCACAGCTTACCTGGGGCCACTTGGGAGAACAGCAAGCAGAACATCAGCAGGAAAAGGCAGGTCCTCATGGTGGCTGGCGGGCTGCACGAGGGCCTCAGAGGTGGAGCTGGCAGAGGTGGCCAGAGGCCAGAGTGTCGTTGTATTTATAGGGCTGGAGGATTGCACAACCTCATAGGCAGAGCTGGAGGGAGGTGTTGCAATCCACAGTAAGCTTCTAGTAACTAACCCTCCCTGTCATTCACCCTGCGTAGCCGCACACCATGTAGCACATAGTCTCTATCTGGCTATGGCTGGATTTAGTTTTCGGTCTGGAGACCTGGGGCTGGCCCCTCCTGCCAGGTCTGTTTGGTTTTCTAGGCTGGGCAGTTCTGAACAGGGCTCACCCTGCAGTTGCTCCCTGGAGGAGAGGTTGTGGAGAGGGAGGTTGGCAGGGGCTGCAGGCTGTCTCTTTGATTTGTGTTCCTGCAAGACAACCCCAGCCTCACCCTTTCTCTTATAAAGACACCCTGATTTACTTCAGTTAATCTCAAGGATGAGGCTTGCTCCTGAGGTCACATTGCCTTCTCATGCCTCTCCTGAGGCAGAACTTTCTCAAAGTCCTGGGGTGAAACTTTCCCTCTGGCTGACCGGCCTTTCCTTCCTCCTTCCCAACAACACGTGCTTTGGGAAGTGTGCATCTCTGGCTCCCCAGAAAGTGAGTAGTGTGCCCCTGGAGGACTGCCTCTGGGCTCCAGACAGGCTGAGCTCCCAGCAACACACAGGCAGGATGCAGCATCCGCGTTAATGTAGACCTGCAGCTCTGAGTGAGGTTGGCTGTAGTCCTGCTTGTCACAAAGGCAGGACCCCTGCCATTAGGGCTTGCCCTGCTGGTGGGACCTGACAAGGAAGAACAATGGATTCTTTGCTGTCTCAGGTATGCCTGGTACTCACCCGGTGTGGCCCTGACCCACCTGGGAGGATGACTGCACCTGTGTAAGGGCTGAGGGCAGATAAGGTAGGCAGGGAGAACAGTGGGAAGACACTTCAGGTGCAGCAAGGACCAGGGGCAGTGTCTGGGCTATGCACCAAGTGTGTGCATTCAGGCTGCTGCGTGTCATGTCGCACAGTTGGGGTTTTCTTTTTAGGCAAGTGATATCCCCTCTCCAGGTTACAACTAACAGCAGCTCCTGCTCTGGTCCACTATGTCTGAAAGCAGACAAACGGCCTCTTGTTCTTCATATTTACACTGTTTGAGGCTACATCTGGAGGATCACCTCTGCATTCCTTATTGCTTTTTGGAAAACAGAAATCATTAAAAATTTGTATGGTACCCAAGCAATGTGTTCACACCTCTCTGGAGAGGAACTTTGAGTTTTTAGCTTCTGAATGTTTTCTTTTGTTTCAAGGGCACTGTACCTGCCCTGTAAACAGTGGGCACAATTTCTAACACTTCCTTGTTCCCTTACTCTCGGTAGACTTTGATTAAGGTCTGTCAAGGTCACATCCTTGGCCACTCTGCAGGAACTGTGTGTCACATCTCACAGGCCACACTGTGGGAACTGTTTGTGTCAGGGGTTTGTCACACTCTGGAGCGTGAGGTGTGCAGGTGGGGGTGGGATGGGTGGGGAAGGGGCCATGTGGGGCTGTGGCTCCTTTGGGCCCCCCGAGAAAGGTCAAACAGGACACAACCCTCGTCTAGTGGGGTGGAGTCGATTCTAGTCTTCAGTCAGGCACTTCCCAGAAATTCTGTTTCAGTGACACAAGTTGGAGCTGCTCCTTTGTGCCAGAATGAGAGAAAGTGAAGGGCACAGCCTAACTGGCCCCTCCTGTGCCAAGTGTCACACCACCTTGTGCACATTTAGAACTGCAAGGCTGGTTCTGCAGACTGGCTCAGTGCTGTGGCTCCCTGCAAGGGCAGGCTCCAACTGGGCATGGCACTTACCGACCTACCATTTGGTAGGAATGATGAACTGTCATAGTACCAGAGGTCTGTAAAGATTTTAAATGTTCATGCCAGCTGGTTGAAGTGGCTCACACCTGTAATCCTAGCACTTTGGGAGGCCAGGTGGGAGGCTCCCTTGAGGTTGGTAGTTTGAGACCAGCTGAGCAAGAGTGAGACCCCTGTCTCTACTAAAAATAGAAAAATTAGCTAGAAGTTGTGGTTGGTGCAAGTCCCAGCTCAGGAGGCTGAGACAGGAGGATTGCTACTCTAGCCTGGGTGATAGAATGAAACTCTATCTCAAAAAGATCTGTTGGCTTGGCGCCTATAGCTCAACCGGCTGGGGCGCCAGCCACGTACACCTAAGGTGGCGGGTTCGAATCCCCAGCCCGGACCCGCCAAACAACAGTGATGGCTGCAACCAAAAAATGGCCGGGCGTTGTG